CCGTTTAGCAAACGCGCCCAAAGAAGGAATCAAACAAGGCAGGGCTGTTTAGTAAACTACGCCCAAAGCCGTTTAGTAAACGCCGCTTGTCCGGTCCGGGTGGTTTTTCCTCCCTTGACTTTGGCGTGGGAGCGTCGCGCTCTCGATGGCAAAACCACCGAGACCCAAGAAAAAACCAGGGCGCCCTGGAGGCAGGGTGTTTCTTGGCATGGCCGAACTCTATACTCCGATGTTTTTTCTCGCCCCGCACCGAAACTCGCACGGGAAAGCGGATACTGGTGTATGCGGGGTCTTGGTGTAGACATGTTCGTTCTTGCCACGGGAAAGCAGGGAGACAGGTATACACCACACCACCCCGACGTCGTCGCCGACCCTCAACATGTCCTGAGACTGCAAGACAGCCCGCCACTGGTAATGTATATGCTCCTGTTTCTTGGCACGGGCCCCCACTGCACCCCGAGCTCCTCCTCGGCCCGGCTCTGCTTTGGACACCCGGAATGGGTACCGAAAGAATGGGTACAATGCCCAACAACGAATGGTGTCCCAAACCAACAGCGGCCGCTGTTGGGCCAGCGGCCTTCTGTCTAAAATGGACACAGGCCGCGGCGGCGCGGACAGCGAGTCCTGTTCAAAATGAACAGGAGCTGCTGTTGGGCATTGTACCCCTTCTTTCCGTACCCATTTCGGGCGTCCAGATCTGCGCGGCCCCCCCCAAGCGCTGGCGCTGCCGGCTGCGCTGTCGCCTGGGGCCCTCGCGGTCGCCCCGCCCCCCGCCCCCGTGGCCGGCGTCGGGCCGTCGCCGCCCTCGCTCGGCCCCGCAGCCCCGCAGCCCCGCAGCCGCGCTGCGGACGCACTATCGCAGCCTCCGCCACCGGCTTGGCCGCCCTGCCCCCAAGGACTTCCGATTCCCGCCACGGCGGCCTGCGCCAGCGCAGCCCGCCCCGCACCTCTTCCACCTGGCCCCCCCGCGATTTTACTGAAGGGGCCCTGGGACACACGAATTAATACCCACAAATAAAACTATCCCCCACATCTTCCTATATTTTTGGGATTTTCGTCTTCCCCTCCACTTCCCATATTTTCCCATATTTTCTGGGGGGGCGACGATTAATTGTGTCTGTCTGTTTTTGTTCCCTCCTGATTTGCCTCCCGGGACCTCCGCCGGCCCTGCTGCCGCTGGCCTCCGCTCCACCTCCCCCCTGGCTGGTCCACGGCCCCCCCGCACTGCAGCCGCAGCCCCGGCCCCTGGGCGTGGTCGCGACGCCGCCCCATGCCCGCTGCCAGGGGCGCAGCACCGGCTTGGCCGCCCCGGGCGCCCCGCGGCGGTCCCGGCTGCGTGAGCGCGCTGGTCCCTTTCCTTCCTCCCGCGGCCGCTCCCCTTCCCCCCTTGTCCTCTGGCATCCGGATAGTTCGCCATGCCGTCACCCCGCTTACCGAGCGCGCGTGCGGACTGCCTGTGCCGCGCTGCGACGGAAAAAAACTGTTTGGAAAAAGTCGGATCACGCGCGGGCGCCCCGCGACCATGATGAACTGGTTTTGGATAGACGGGGCGGCGGGGAGTCCTCGTATTCGCTGCTCTGCATGTGCAAGCTCACGGAGCCTGGCAATAACCGTATAAAATGCACTTTGCGGCAAAATCGGGATCATGCGCGGTGAGCCGGCTGGATTTTGGCACAGCCGGCGGGGGATCCCTCATATTGTCAGCTCTGCGTTTCCGACGGGACTCATGAACTCAGTGGGATTCGGGCCGCCTGTGTGTCGGGAGGGCGAGAGTGAGGGAAACAGCGGGTGGGAAGCGGCAGCTTGATCACTGCCCTGTCATCCCTACACAATGATTGCGCACCTCTATTCTACGGAACTGGGCCGTGTCTTCGGTCTGGCGGCTATGTGACCAGCATCGCCGCGGGCCTGTCTGTAGGTATGGCGGCTACGTCGCCGCCGTCGCCGCCCCGTCGCCGTTTCGTCGCCGCCCGTCGTCTGGGCCTGTCTTTCGGCCGCCGCGCTTGTTGCCGCCGTCGCCGCCCCGTCGCCGCCTCGTCGCCGCCCGTCGTCTGGGCCTGTCTGTCGCTCGCCACGGTCATGTTTTCGGACGCCCCGTTTGTTGCCGCCGCGCCGCAGGCCCGAGTCCGCCCCGTTGAGTTCCCCAAACATAGATCGCGCAACATAGATTCTCCTTCCTAAAAAAAAAAAAAAAAAAAAAAAAAACGAACTCCCCCCCTCTCCCGGAACTGTCGACCCCCGACTTCGCACTGCAAGTGACATACGATTCTGCCCCAGCTGAGTATGAACTCGTAGCATCCCAGCCAGGCCGGTATCGACGCCCCCCGTCATCCTGCGCACCACAAATATTACGCACGAGCACTCACCCATCAAGAACCATAAATTGCCAAGAACCCTGCTCAAACAATGAAACTAAAAAATGCACACACACACACACACACACACACACACACACACACACACGCGCGCACGTCGTCTCGCGCGCACGCCGAAATCGTTCAAACACATGCGGATTCGTAAATATGTCAAAATCGAATGTCAAACAGCATATGAAAACGCAAGGTCTCACACCACTGACCTTGAAAAAATGGCGCGCTCTTGTGAATTCTTAACAACCCATGGGGTTTTCAAAACTGTTCATAACATGTCACAGGACGGGCTTCGCGCGAGCGCACGTTGAGATCATTCGAACGCCTTTTGCGCGCGCGCCGTCGCGAGAATCCTTCTGCAAAACAATGGGACGAAGTGCACACGCGCGCGTCGTCGCGCGCGCATTTCGGAATCCGTCAAAAAAGCTGTCGGTGTCGTAGCAATGCCAAAACCGAGTGTCCAAAACGCATACCAAAAAAAAACACATGGTCTCGCGACGTCCATCTTCCACACAGCCCGCGTGGAATTCTGCCAAATGCGCATCTGGCGCCGCACGCCGACATCATTCGCACGCCTTTTGCGCGCGCGCTGGGGGGGGGGCACGATCCGTGCCAAAGAATACCGCGCGGGCCACTCTCGCTAGTCGGCCGCGGTCGCGTGTCGAACCCTGTTTTTCCAAAACCTTCATCACCGACGCGAAGACGCCGTCATCGTCATCGGCGTGAACAGCATCGGCGCCCGCACTGGCCGCGCCGTCGTCGTTGCCAACATCTTCACCAGCATCGCTACTAGCATCATCGCGTCTACCGTTGGCGACGTTGCCATGATACCGCGCACGCCCAAGTCCCCGACTCGCACGGAAGTGCCCGCTGGGATGTGCCCAGCGGTCAGCGCCACCGCGGCCGCGTCGGTCGCACCAAACTAGTTGGCCGCTTCGAGCGCGTGGTTGGCTCGGCGCGGCCGCAGAAAAGGACCAGCCAACGTCAAGCACTCATCCAGTCGCCACCGCATGTGTTTTTCAAACCAAGTTGCGGGTGGGTGGGTGGGATGATTGCGCGAGCAGTGGAAGTGGTCAGGCGCGGCGCAAGGAAGTCCATTCTTCTTTCTAAGCAGAAAACAGATTCTACCACCCTCCCCCACCCCCGGCCTCATCGTCGCCCCAAGAACCGATGCAAAACACATTTGGCTCTGACCCAATGTCCATCCGACCTGTGCACTCATACTATCCCAGCTAGGCCGGTACCGCACCCCTCCGCCATCCTCTTGCAAAAAATGCTACGCGCGCGCGCCCGCTTATCAAAAACCATCAGTTGTCAAGAATCCCGTGCAAAGAAACAACAAGACGAAGTGCTCACGCGCGCGTCGTCGCGCGCGCATGCCGAAATCATTCGAAAACCGTCGGTCCCGAAAAGACTTCAACACACAAACAAATTCGCAACACGGATTGTCATCAAAAGCGTGCGCGCGCTCTTGCCTGTATTGTATTACATATATATACCAAAATACTGACACAACATGTTCATAAAATGCTACCAAGCGGGTTTTGCGCGCATGCCGAAATCGTTCGAACGCCCTTGCGCGCGTGCTGGCTGGGGCGGCACGATCCTCGTGAAATAATGCCATGTGACACACTCGCGCGCGTCTGCCGCGCGCGCATTTCGAATTCCTTCCAAAACCTTCATCACCGACGCGAAGACGCCGTCATCGTCGTCGGCGTGATCAGCATCGGCGCCGTCACTGGCTGACCCGTCGTCGCTGCCAGCATCGTCACCAGCGCCGCTACTATCATCACCGTGTTTACAATAACCTTTGGCGGCGTGGCCATGATACCACGCGCGCCCAAGCCGCCGACTGGCACGGGAGTGCCCGCTGCGATGTGTCGAGCGGTCGGCGCCACCGCGCCCGCGCCGGTCCACATCTTACAGCGGCCGCTGTCAGATGTGGACAACAAATGTTGTCCACATCCGACAGGGGCCGCTGTAAGCCAGGCAACCTTGTGTCTCAAATGAATATCAACGGCCGCGACGCCGACAGTGAATTCTGTTCAGGACGAACATCAGCTGTTGTTGGGCTTTGGACTTATCTGTGGACGCCCGAGATGGGTACGGAAAGAATGGGCACAATGCCCAACAACAAAGGTTGTCCCAAACCAACAGCGGCCGCTGTTGGGCAGGCGGCCTTCTGTCTCGAATAGGCACAGGCCGCGGCGGCGCGGACAGCGAGTCCTGTTCAAAATGAACAGGAACTGATGTTGGGCATTGTACCCATTCTTTCCGTACCCATTTCGGGCTTTGGACTTATCATTTCCGTACCCATTTCGGTCCCCCCGATCAAACGTCGTCGCTCGGGGGCCTGCCGTGCCGACAGGGCTGGGGCACGGAAGGCCCCGTGCACGGGAGAGGGAAAGGGCCCCGCGAGACGCTCTCGGATGGCGCTGACCTCCTGGGCGGCTGGAGCGGAACAGGAGCCACAGGAACAGGAGTGAAAGCAGGAGCAGGAGGAGCAGCGATAATAGGAAGAGCAGGAACAGCAGCAGGAAGGAGCAGCAAGAGTAGGAACAGGAACGAGCAGGAAGGAGCATGAGAGGGCAGGAAGAAGTGGAGCAGGGGGAGCAAAGAGCAGGAGCATGAGGAGCAGGAACAGGGGTAGGAAGCGGTTTCGGGGTGGAGCAGGTCTGCGGCTGCCTCCAAGACTGGCACCGAATTCGGGAGCCGCGCGCGGCGGATGCGGCTCTCCCCCTCCCTCCTCCTCCCTCCTCCTCCTCCTCCTCCTCCTCCTCCTCCTCCTCCTGCTCCTGCTCCTGCTCCTCCTCCTCCTCCTCCTCCTCCTCCTCCTCCTCCTCATCCTGCTCCTCCTCTTCCTTCTCCTCCTCCTCCTCCTCCTCCTCCTCCTCCTCCTCCTCCTCCTCCCCTCGGTTCGCATGGCGCACCTGCACCCGATTCGGCACACCCCTCACACGGTTCAAGGCCCCATATGGAGCTCCACCGAGGGCCCCAGCGGCAGGGTCAGCTTCGCTCAACGGAAGCCCCAGCGGCAGGGCCCGCATGGCGTACAGGCACCCGATTCAGCGCGCACACACACACACACACACACACAAGCACACGCACGCACGCACGCACGCACGCACGCACGCACGCACGCACGCACGCACGCACGCACGCACGCACGCACGCACGCACACACACACACACACACACACACACACACACACACACCTCACACGCTTCGTGGCCCCGCAGGGATCTCCATCGAAGGCCCCAGCGGCAGGGCTCGCACGGCATACCCGGGCCCGATGCGGCAAACCCTTCACACGCTTCGTGGCCCGATTTAGAGCTCTACTGGAGGCCCCAACGAAAAGGTTTGAGCGGCGTACATGCATCCGATTTGGCACATTTCTCACACGCTTCGTCGCCCAATATGGGGACCTCACTGAAGGCCCTAGCGGCAGGGTCCTCATGGCGCACCCGCACCAGATTCGGTACTTACCCTCACACGTTTAGTGGCCCCATAGAACAAAAAAAAAACCGAAGGCCATAGCGGCAGGGTCCGCCTGGCGCGCCTGCACCCGATTCGGCACACCCCTCACACACTTCGTGGCCCCATTTGGAGTTCCACTGGAGGCCCCCACGGCAAGGTCCGCATCGCGTACCCGCACCGGATTAGGCACAATCCTCACACGTGTCGTGGCCCCACGGGGAGCTCCGTCGAAGGCCCTTGCGGCAAGATCAGCATGGCGTACCCGGACCCGTTTCGGCACACCCCTCACACGCTTCGTGGCCCAACGGGGAGCTCTACCGAAGGCCCCAGCGGCAGAGTCCGCATGGCGTACCCGTACCCGTTTCGGCACATCACTCACACACTTCGTGGGCCTGTAAGGAGCTCCACCGAAGGCCCCAACGACAGGGTCCACATGGCATACCCCCACCCAATTCGGCACACGCCTTCACACAATTCGTGGCCCCACAGGGAGATCCGACGAAGACCCTTGCGGCAAGATCCGCATGGCGTACATTCGGCACACATACACACACACACACACACACACACACACCTCACACGGTTCGTGCCCCCATAGGGAGCTCCACCGAAGGCCCCAGCGACAAGGTCCGCACGGCGTACCCGCACCTGGTTCAGCGCACCCCATCACACGCTTCGTGGCCCCATAGGGAGCTCCACCGAAGGCCCCAGCGGCAGAGCCCGCATGGCGTACTCGCTACCGATGCGGCACACACACACACACGGACACACACACACACACGCGGACACACACTTTTTTGATCCGCGGGTCGAGAGTGCACCTCTTCCGGTCGAAGCTAAGCGGGCCGCGCACAGCTTCAATTATCAAAAGGACGGCAGAAGGGGGGGCCTCACGTCAAGGCCAGGAGGGGGCAGAGCCCCGGAATCAGGCGGTGCCGAAGACGATGTGCTTGCAAAGGAACGCCTTGGACAGGAACCCGGCGGCGAAGTACCCGAAGAAACAAAATGCGCACGGACACAAACACACACACACACACACACACACACACACACACGCACGCACGCACACACACACACACACACACACACACACACACCTCACACATTTCGTGGCCCCGCAGGGAGCTCCGCCGAGGGCCCCAGCGGCAGGGCCCGCATGGCGCACTCGCGCCCGATGCGGCACACCCCGCGCCGGGTCCGCATGGCACACCAGCCCCACGTCGGCACACCCCTCACTCCTCCCCCTCTTCGTCTTCTTCTTATTATTACTTGGTCTTCATATTATCATTAATGTTAGTATGCTTGTGATTACTATTATTAATAATAGTATTACTATTACTGTTATTATTGTTATTAGTAGTATTATTATGATTAGCAGTCTTATTATTATTACTACTATTATTATTAGTAGTATTATTATGTTCATTCCCACTTTCCTCGCGGCACCCGCAGCTTCATATGCTTGGGCCCCTCGCTGGGGTAAGCCTCATGTATCGTTTGTCCTATCCGAACGTTGTCGGTCCTTCAAAGTTCCCATGCTGCAGCGCCGGCCTCATTTCTGGCTTTGCCCCAGTCGTTCAGAATGGTGCTCTCGCCCAAGCACGGACCATACTTCTGGACATGGTTATGATTGTTTCCCCATCCCCACACTTTCCTGGTTCTCCTGCGTCTCCCGCTCCTCCCGATCCTACTTCTGCAGCTCCTCCTCGTCCTCCTCCCTCCTCATCCTAATCCTCTTCCTCTTGCTGATCCACCTGTTCATCCGCCTCCTCCCCCTCCTCCTCCTCCTCCTCCTCCTCCTCCTCCTCCTCCCTCCTCCTCCTCCGCCTCCTCCTCCTCCTCCTCCTCCTCCTGCTCCTGCTCCTCCTCCTCCTCCTCATCCTCCTCCTCCTCCTCCTCCTCCTCCTCCTCCATGTACACAGCTCGCCTTTTCAAATTGTGCGTCGCACGCTGGGATCCTTTTGGGCGTTTCAGGTCCGCTTTGGTAACCGTTGGAGGAGAGGGAAGGATCAGCGCAGTGGACAGGGACGTGTGGGAGGGGTAGGACGTCAGATATGGCGCGAGCGCACCTGGCTTGTCCTCACCCCCATCGCTTCTCCCCCCTAACTGCTCTCCTCCCGCGCCCTCTCGGCCATCCTGCCCCCCCCTTTCCCCGCTCCCTCGTCCTGCCCTCCTCTCGGGGAGGACGACATGGCGGGATAGCAGAGCGCCGGGAGGCGCCCGCGCATCGAGGAATGGGCCCGGCGGCGGGGCCGAAACCAGCTCAGCTGCATGCCGCAGATTTCGCACCCCTCCTTACCCTGTCCTGCCCGTTCGCCCGGCCCCCTCCTCCGATCGAGGGCGCGCACGCATGGATTAGCGATCCATGGATTTGGCGCGCGGTCGCCAAATACATTCGGGTCGGGCGAAAGGGGGGGATAGCAAAGGGGGGGTTTCAGAATCAGCTCACGTAGCTGATTTTCCCGGCGCCTCCCGGCGCCGGAGGCGGCCATGTATCGAGGAATGGGCCCCTCGGTGGGGCCGAAACCAGCTGCATGCAGCAGATTTCGTAACCCCCCCTTTCCAAATCCCCCCCTTTCGCCCGGACCGATACGCGGATCGGGGGAGGTGCCCTCCCCAAAAATGCGGCCCGTGCCGCCTCGCTCGGCGGCGGAAATCTGCGATTTCCCATGGAAACTGGACCCGTCGCTAATCCACGCCCCATTAATCCATGTTTGCGATCGCCTGATTGGAGCCTGGGGCAATCCGTCCACGTTCGCATCGGCCTCGTTCTCGTCGTCATCGCCGCTAACGTCGAAAGCACGGATCTCCCCCGCCATAAAGAGCTCAATTAGCCTGGCGAAGGACCCAACCATATGCAGTTGAGAGTACCGCAATTGTGAATATCTTCTTCGGTGGCGCTCCCTATGGGGCCACGAGCCGTATGAGGGGTGTGCCGAAATGCGTGGCAGTGTACACAACACGAACGAAGACGATAGGTCCGAATATGAAAGCTTGAGCGCGTGCGAGTCGGATCGCGAGCGAGTCTGATTATGAATGAATCTGCGCGCGATTGATTCTATTCGCATGAATGCGTGCATGGATACGCCCAGTGTAAATGTATGTATACGACTGTGAACAGTTTGGGTCTGCGTGACTCTCGGTACTCGTGACTCTGAGCGTCGCCTCTGCAGGGGGCTTCCCTGGGAACCCCGACGGCAGCGCCCGCGCGCCGCGACGCCCATGTCGGCACGCCACACACCTGGTGTGCGGGACGCATGCGGACGGCAGCACTGGGGCCTTCGGTGGAGCTCCCTGTGGGGCCACGAAACGTGTGAGGGGTGTGCCGAAATGGGTGTGCGGGACGCATGCGGACGGCAGCCATGGGGCCTTCGGTGGAGCTCCCTATGGGGCCACGAAACGTGTGAGGGGTGTGCCGAAATGGGTGTGCGGGACGCATGCGGACGGCAGCACTGGGGCCTTCGGTGGAGCTCCCTGTGGGGCCACGAAACGTGTGAGGGGTGTGCCGAAATGGGTGTGCGGGACGCATGCGGACGGCAGCCATGGGGCCTTCGGTGGAGCTCCCTATGGGGCCACGAAACGTGTGAGGGGTGTGCCGAAATGGGTGTGCGGGACGCATGCGGACGGCAGCACTGGGGCCTTCGGTGGAGCTCCCTGTGGGGCCACGAAACGTGTGAGGGGTGTGCCGAAATGGGTGTGCGGGACGCATGCGGACGGCAGCCATGGGGCCTTCGGTGGAGCTCCCTATGGGGCCACGAAACGTGTGAGGGGTGTGCCGAAATGGGTGTGCGGGACGCATGCGGACGGCAGCACTGGGGCCTTCGGTGGAGCTCCCTGTGGGGCCACGAAACGTGTGAGGGGTGTGCCGAAATGGGTGTGCGGGACGCATGCGGACGGCAGCCATGGGGCCTTCGGTGGAGCTCCCTATGGGGCCACGAAACGTGTGAGGGGTGTGCCGAAATGGGTGTGCGGGACGCATGCGGACGGCAGCACTGGGGCCTTCGGTGGAGCTCCCTGTGGGGCCACGAAACGTGTGAGGGGTGTGCCGAAATGGGTGTGCGGGACGCATGCGGACGGCAGCACTGGGGCCTTCGGTGGAGCTCCCTATGGGGCCACGAAACGTGTGAGGGGTGTGCCGAAATGGGTGTGCGGGACGCATGCGGACGGCAGCCACTGGGGCCTTCGGTGGAGCTCCCTATGGGGCCACGAAACGTGTGAGGGGTGTGCCGAAATGGGTGTGCGGGACGCATGCGGACGGCAGCACTGGGGCCTTCGGTGGAGCTCCCTGTGGGGCCACGAAACGTGTGAGGGGTGTGCCGAAATGGGTGTGCGGGACGCATGCGGACGGCAGCACTGGGGCCTTCGGTGGAGCTCCCTGTGGGGCCACGAAACGTGTGAGGGGTGTGCCGAAATGGGTGTGCGGGACGCATGCGGACGGCAGCCATGGGGCCTTCGGTGGAGCTCCCTATGGGGCCACGAAACGTGTGAGGGGTGTGCCGAAATGGGTGTGCGGGACGCATGCGGACGGCAGCACTGGGGCCTTCGGTGGAGCTCCCTGTGGGGCCACGAAACGTGTGAGGGGTGTGCCGAAATGGGTGTGCGGGACGCATGCGGACGGCAGCCATGGGGCCTTCGGTGGAGCTCCCTATGGGGCCACGAAACGTGTGAGGGGTGTGCCGAAATGGGTGGTGACGATGACGATGACGCGATGACGAAATGACGCATGCGGATGAGCTCCCTATGGGGCCACGAAACGTGTGAGGGTGTGCCGAAGTGGGTGATGACGATGACGATGACGACGATGACAATGACGATGACAATGATGATGATGATGATCGACGACGACGACGACGACGACGACGACGACGACGACGACGACGACGGATGATGATGATGATGATGATGATGATGATGATGATGATGATGATGATGATGATGATGATGATGATGATGATGATGATGATGATGATGATGATGATGATGATGGGAGGAGGGAGGAGGGAGAGGAGGAGAGGAGGAGGAGACGCGGGCCACCGTCTCTTCAAAACGAGGACCCAACACCACAGGATGGTTGGGAAAAAAACCGATGGTCCTCCTCCTCCTCCTCCTCCTCCTCCTCCTCCTCCTCCTCCTCCTCCTCCTCCTCTGGGACCGAGAGAGACCCAGCCGGGAGGGCGACGGCGCAACTCGGGAGAGCGGCGCAAAGCTCAGTGCCCGGGCGGCGGGTCAATTCGCGCAGCGGCGCCGCGGCTCCGCTGACAATTACGTGCAAAAATATGCTGCGAGCGGCCATGCGATGGAATTCGCGTGAAGCCCAGACCCCCTCGCGCTGTGAAACAATCACGACGGAAGGTACTTCGCTATTTTCGACCTCCGCCTCGGGACCGTCAAAAAACGACTCGGGATGAAGAACCCGGGAAGACCTGATTTCTGAGGGCCACGTCATGAACAATCACGACATCGGGGGTCTCGGAGCGGCGCTAAGGGAACCTGGGGACCAGGGACACCCACCAGCAGACAACCAAACAGACCTGCAGGCGCCAGGTAGAGCAGCATCGGCCGACTGCTGACTTTAAAGCAGCATCGCTTCACGGAAACCTGCAGACTCCTTTGATTATTCTTCCCGTCATCCACCAATCGAAAAAGAAAAAACGGCATCATAATAAACATAAGCTTTCGACGGTCCGTGCGGATTTCTTGGATCTGCGCAGGGCACCCCCCTCCCTGACGCGCGGGGCGCGCCAGGGTCGGCGCCGGAGGCGCCGCCGGGGGGGGGCCCCAGCGCGGACCCAAGAAAGCCGCGAGGAGCGCCAAAAGTGTGTTTGTAGCGTCTGCTCTTCTTCGAAACAGACAACGCTTACACTACAGTCGGGGCGTTGACCTAAGGAACATAAAATCAGGAACGAGGCCCCTTTTCTCCAGAAGTTAAACCTCTACTTCCCATCGAAAACCTAAAGGAAAATCCGAGGCAAACTGTGAAACAATCAAGGAACACGGAGCCCCTCCCCAACGAAACGGGTTCCTTCTTCAAGACCCCTACTGTACAGTAGAGGCCAGTCCACAAGAAACCTTCCAGAGGAAACCCAGCCCTAAGACCCCAGGACGTCCACCGATTTCTCTGGTCGGGAACGTCACGTGCTCCGCAGCAGAGCCACCCAGACCCGAGATGCCCGGGGCACCCTGGAGGCAAGCGGGGTGCTTCTTGGCATGGGCCTCCGCTGTTCGGCGGTGGACAAACCTGAAGGGGCCCTGGGACACACAAACAAATAGGCACAAATAACAGGATCCCCCATATATATACATATATATATATATATATATATATATATATATATATTCCCATATTTTCTAAGTTTTTCGCCTTCCCACCCACTTCCCATATTTTCCCATATTCTCTTGGGAATCGACGATTCATTGTGTCTGTGTGTTTTTTCTTCTCCTGAAAACCTCCCTTTATTAAACCTCCCTTTCGTAAACCTCCCCTCAGTGAAAACGGCCTGGGACCGAAACCGACGGGCCTGGACCCGCAAAGATGGACGGCCGCGACGCCCTCCCGCGAACCGAAAACGGCCGATTCCTGAATCGACTGGGCCTGTCAACCTGTGCCCGCGTGGCGGGGGGAGGGACCCAGGGCCCCGCGCGCTGCGGGCAAA